GTGGTCTGCCTCTCGGTGTCATCGTCTCCACCTCGGAGACCGAGGCCGTGGTGGACAAAGCCTTCCGGCTGCTCGTCGGGATTTTACCAGACGGTACGATATACCTACATTTGCCATGAATTCCCATATCTGGCGGCTAAACTCTGAATTGTCCAGTCAGTTGTGCATTGGTGTATAAAATCCAATATCGTGTTTGACCGAGAATGCTTCTTTGACAGGCGCCTTTGGCGGGCGTGGAAGGCGCGGCCCTCTGTGCTTCATGACGGACGACTGTCAGGCCGAGCGGAACGCGCTGTCGGCGGTGTGGCCTGAGGCGCGGCTCCTGCTGTGCACGTTTCACGTGCTGCAGGCCGTCTGGCGATGGCTTCACAACGGCAAACATGGCATCGACAAGCAAGTGAGTAGTTTCTACTGGGAATGAATTTCCGTTCATTTTTGTCTAATTACCCCTTTTTGAGAAACACAGAGAGAGAGAGAGAGAGAGAGAGAGAGGGAGAGAGAGGGAGGCAGAGAAAGAGACAGAGACATAGAGAGAGGGAGGGAGAGAGAGAGAGAGAGAGAGAGAGAGAGAGAGAGAGAGAGAGAGAGAGAGAGAGAGAGAGAGAGAGAGAAAGAGAGAGAAAGAGAGAGAAAGAGAGAGAGAGAGAGAGAGAGAGAGAGAGAGAGAGAGAGAGAGAGAGAGAGAGAGAGAGAGAGAGAGAGAGAGAGAGAGAGAGGCAGGCAGACAGCTGGGCAGAGGCAGGCATAGGCAGGCAGTCAGGCATAGACTAGACAGGCATAGGCTGGCAGTCAGGAATAGACATGCAGTGATACTGGTCTAAAAGCTGTAAAAGAACGTAAATGAGTTTGATTAATTTCATCTCAAACACCCCCTATATTTACATTTACCTTCACCCTTCACCCTTCACCCCTCCCGCCTCCCACACTCGGATACCAGTTAAATTGTGCATTTTCTTCCAGCACAGGCAGGCTATCATGGCACTAGCCAAACAGCTCGTGTACGCCAACAATGAGGCGGAGATAGCGACGACGATGGAGCTGGTGGCTACCGAGTGGGGCGAGCGCTACCCACTGCTGGACCAGTACCTGCAGGGTTTCGCTGCCCGCCGTCAAGAGTGGGCGCTGTGTCTCCGCACGGATGTCCCCACCCGGGGACACAACACGAACAACATCGTAGAGTCCGCCTTCAGAGTCCTCAAAGACTCTGTCCTCTACAGGTCAGTCTTTATTCATATGTTTCACCTAATTGCGGTTCAATAAATAAAACAGTTAACCTGGCGTTCATAGACAAACCTGTCTTTTAACTAAAGTTGATTGTAAAACTGTTTCGGTGACCGGAGGTATTGCGATAGATTCATTACTATTTTAAAATATTTCAAGTTGTAAGGTTGCCCAAAAGTGGCAAATGTTGAAGAAATGTCAAAGTTGCAGTTACAGACAAATTCCAATTAATAAAGACAAATAATTGGAAAAAAAGCCAAAGCAGGGGAGTAGTTTTCCTTTCAATATAGGTCGGAGGGCTGAGAGTTAGCCGGTAAAATGTTCTCGAAAACACCATCAAAATCCCTAGGACTGTGCAATTCTCCCCAGTGTCTGCCAAAGTTCAGAGCCTGAAGCCCCCGAAACGGAATTGGACCATACATCCCTTCGTCAAAGACGTTAATTACTAACTTGTGACTTTCATGGATTAACACGGATTAACTTGTGAATATCACGGTTTTACATTTCTGTTAACCCTACATGTGGAAGAAAAACAAACTTTCGCATTTCGGGTAGGTTGTGAAATTGTTAGTTGTGCTTTTGGCTGCTCTTCTGAAAGCCTTATTGTGTCCATACGATGGCAGTCTACCGTTAATTATAGCTGCAAAGAAATTGTTGAAATATTCGCTTGACACGCGCTGTTTTTCCAGGACTCGGGCGTTCAACCTGCTGCAGCTGTTTGATTTCGTCACGGTCCAGCTCAGCAAGCACTACGCCAGGAGGGCGTGCGACGTGGCCAACGGCCGGCAGCGGGCGGCACCGGTCCGCGGCGGCACCAGCCAAGAAACGGGCACTGTGACGCAGGTATTTTGCATGACACGAGAACTGATTGAGGTCACATAAGACAGCTCGTTTTCCAATGCTGGTCCCACCCGTACTGCCACATGGCTGTGCAAAGTGACCAATGCAATCGGCGCACCCCTAAGCACCAATAAACCACATTGCTGTGCATTCACACACAAGAGTCTGTCACTGTACCGCTGTGCCACTGTAGGGCCGCGTGGTGTTGGCGCTGTGTGCCACATCTCGTGACTCGTTTCGCGTTTTTTCTTGTTTCTTCTTTTTTCCCTTTGGGGGTCTGTTTTAAAAGGCCAAGCTGACAGTACTGGGGCGAATGAACAGGTTCGGATTTTCGTACAAGTAACCGTCCGTCAGTTTATGTTGTACAGTCTGTCTTAAAAGTCCGCGAAAAAGCAACGGTGGATCCATCAAGCCTGACCGAGGAAGGGCCTGCTCAATTTGAGTCATCAAAGCAATTGATATTCTCGTCCATTCCCCAGGTCAATTGGTTCGGTGACTTTCAAAGTAAAGCAGGCCTTTCTTCAGTAAGGCTTGATGGATCCACCGTCACTTTGCGCGGTACTTTTAAGACAGACTGTACATACGAATTTTACAGGATTTTATGTGTTGCCCCTCCCACAGGTGACGGAGTTCACCTATCAGGTGAAGTCGCTGACGTCGGTCGGCATCACCTACCTGGTGGACCTGAACGTCGGCGCCTGCACCTGCAGGATGAACCGGCGGACTGGCGGCTGCAAACACCTCCGAGCCGTGCGGCAGCAGACTGGCGCTGTGCCGGAGGCGACGGCGACAAAGGAGACGCGGAGGGCCTTGATGGACATCGCCATGGGGACCAGCCAGCAGCTGCCAGGCAACTGGTTCGACCCTCTGGTCGCCGAGCCGTCCACCTCGTCACCTCCTGTCCCCACGCCCGCCAGCGCCCCCGGAGTCGCGCAGCCCCAGCCGTCGCCGAGTCCCGAGGAGTACGACGACGACGCAATGGACTTCGAGGACCCCGCCGCTGCGGCGGCGGCTGTCAGTGGAGCTGAGCAGCGACGCTCAGATGACCGGACACGCCAAACCGTGGCGTTCATCCAGGAGTGGGCAGCCTTCATGTGCGAGGCAGTCGTCCAGGACGACACCTGGGAGAGGGCTGCCGCTGCCTTTCAGCAGAGGTGGGGCCAGCTGCCCACTGCTGGCCGCCAGTCCGCTCTGCACCAGTTTGGAGGCGCGCAGGGCTGCCGGCGGAACGCCACCCAGATTCCGGTCCAGCCGACCAGCACTGCCCGTCGCACCAGCACCAACGTGCGGGGGCGCGCTCGCTGGCCCGCTGGACGGCCGTGCCGCTCCGCGCGCACCGGGGAGCACGGCTACGTGGCAGCCTCCGCCAGGCGGTCGGCGGCGCCCCACAGCCTGGCCACCTGTGTTGACCAGAACCGCCCCCTGGGGCGCTGAGTGATAGAGGTGAAGTGGGGGTGACCGGGGCAAGTTGGTGCCAGGGGGGGGGGGGGTAAGTTGGGACGGAAGGGATATTTCCAATACTTCTCGACAGTTGGCGTTCAAACTTATTTTGTACATGAACAGTAACGCCGTCTGTTTGTCAACGTGGTGTCGGCGCGTGCTGAGGTAAGTGCTGTTAATAATCGCTACAAATGTGTTTCAGGTACCAAAAGTGATTTTCTTGCTGTGAAAATATTCTCTTCTAGTGTCGTTGTGTGTGCCTTTTTGTTTGCCGCAGGAGTACTGCAAACGTTTGTGTTTTGTCGTTAATGCCCGCATGGATTAGCGATGATTGTTCATGTGAAACATGAATAAAAATGTGTTTAGATAAACTGTTTTTCCTAGTGTACCAACTTGCCTTAGGCCTTGGCCCAACTGACCCCCCGCCGCGGGGTAAGTTGGGACATTGGAGGATGGCCGCTTTGATCAGATATGACACCAAGACGATGCTACCATCTCTCTTATATTAAGTCTTCTTTAAAAGATAAAGAAATCAGATCTCAGTTAATAGCCAACAAATAATGATGTATAGTTATACCGAAGTTATGACGCTTCAAGCAATAACTGGCTCAACTAGCGTTAGCGGAATGACGCAAAATTAGCAGGTGACCAGTGACCACTCCCAGTTCGCTAATATGTTTGCATCATTAACATACCTTCCACTATAAGCACGGTTTCTCAATCTTAACATAAAATATAACATCTTTTCATGTAATTTGCATCTCTAATATACCCCAGTCAAACTTGCATCACTAATGTAGTGGGGGACTTCTTGGGAAGAATTAGTTTCTAGGGACTTACACATTTATGCTCATTTCCCCACATTTGTCGCCAGGGGGAGAATTCCCCAGAATTTTCCGCTAGGAGTGGCTGAGCCCTATGGTGAATTCAAAATACGCCCGACGGACCATTCAGCCAGCTGACCCAGATAACGCCGCTCAGATGAGCCAACCCGCTGAGGGTGGATAGACGTCGTCAGAGATATCCTATCGATGTCATCAGCTGCGTTCCCATGTGTCTGGGCTGCACCTCTGCAGCAAAACCGTCCATCGCGGTGAGTGCTCGATTCTCCCCCCCCCCCCCACATAGTTCCATCTCCCGCCCCGTGACCCCGCCCCCTTCCTCGGAGCGTCCGTCGGCCCCGATGACCCGGCCCCGGCGCCCCGCACGGTCCGACGCCGCCCCGTCGGTCGGGAATCGGGAGGGAGCTGTTGGCTGCGGCTCCGATGAATACCTAGTATGGCTCCCACCGACCGGCCAACCAAGCCGCGATGATCGCTATAACAGTAACACGATGGTACGCCTCGTCGCATCGGCGCAGCAGAACCCAGCAACTCGACCGCATCACAGGATTGCAGAGATGTTTGCCGGTCCACCCCGACCGTACCCACCGGGTGGGCAGCATGTATGTGACACTGCGCTAGTGGAGGGCTTATTGGGGCATACGGCGCCGAACTTACCTGGTGCGTGGTCCTCCCGACCGAAGACTGCTTCGCGGAGGGGTGCGGCGTGTCAGCGGTGTTACACGGGTCACAAGAACTCTGCCCGGCTGCCGGCTGAAACGATAGACGACACTGGTCAGAATATTGGTCCGGTCAGGTGGAATGAGGGGCAGATTGACTCATGTTATGTCAGGTCAGGTCGGTTCTTGCTCGACTCGTGCTGATTTTGTCGGTGAAAATAAGTTTCCGAGTCGGGTCGGGTCGGGTTCTGACAAAGATCCGTCAGATCAGGTTAACTAACAATAGCATCAGTCTCAAGCCCCGCCAGCAAGCTGTCAGCTCCGTTTCGGGCCACGGTCGGCCTTCTATATCCAGATAACGCAGTGGTCGGTTTATGAAAAGTACGCAAAGCCGGCTAATAAAGCACAGAGGCCAATTAGTGTGGTGATATATCAAATGGAATTATAGGAACGTAGTCGGGGTTTTGTTTCAGATTACCTGCAACGGGTATTTGGACACCCGTCAAAGTCAATGCTACTCTCAAATCTCATTTCATATCGCAGCACAAACGCTTTAAAAATCGACGATCTACCATTATTTGGTAAAACAACGTTCACGGTAAAACGTTAATGACAGTCAGCAGTCACTTTTTAAAGGCTTAGTTGGAATGCAACAATGCACCATTCATCATTGAGTAATTGGTCATATATATCATGAAGCTTGTAAATGCATATCACATAATGTAACTCAGTGCTTAACCCGCCTGGTTCAGCACCTAATACGTTACAAAACAAAATCAAACACTTCATATATGCATCAGTTATCACACCAGAACGTTCCACTATGCGGGCAGATTTAAATTAGGTTAAGGTTGACTGGTCCGGGCCACTGTGTTACGCTCGCCGAGCAAATACAAAGGGTCATTGCGCAGAAGCGCGTGGCGTGACACTGCAACTTCCACAGAACCGTGTGAAAACCAGCCGCATTCCATTGGACAAATGACAATAAACTATTCCACGGCCGAGAATAGAGCCCTGGAGTCGTCCCAGTCGTCTGTGGTACGGCGTAGATCGTCTGCTATCCAGGTGGACTCAGAGATTCGTAAGTATGAGCACCATGAACAACGAATCTTGGCAACGATTCATAATATATGACGCTATCTGTATGTCATATCGTATATGCAAACAGCTCGGACGAGCCGTACACAGGCCATACGGGCCGGCCAGTGGCCACATCCGCTAACGTCGTGTCGGACGCCGCGGACTTTCACTCGGCCGATCACTATGGAGACGGCGGTACACGCGGGCCTCCCGGCCCAGGTTGGCCGCAGCGAGCCGCACGCAGACATTTGTGGCCGGCTCACGTCTCTGCTCAGATTCAGTGGATCCCGCGTTTGTGGGATCCCGACCGAACCTACCGTCTGGCACAGGTCAGTCGGGGTCGAATCCGGTCACAGCGCGGGATAGTGGACGTTAGAATATATCCGCCATAGACAGGCCGGAGAACGACGAGTACCGCACCGTTAGAGACGGCTGTCTCCCTGTCGGATGTCGATGTCGCCGTGCTGGTATCGCGGGCGGGGGCGGGGTGGGGCGGCAGTCCGGGTCGGAGGGACCGTCGGTGGTTCGTGTGACCGATCGCCTCACAGACAATGCCCCGTTGTTGACAGGATAGGTATGAGCGAGGGTGGGCGTCCCATTTCTGTTGCCTGGTCGACCGCCCCGAGTCGCGTCCACAGACGCGGGATCCACTGAATCAAGCAGAGACGTGAGTCGGCCGCAAATGTCACTCAAATACGTGACCAATCCAGAAAAAAATGACCACGATGCCTTTGATCAGAGAAAGTTCCTCACCGGGAGATAAGCCACACAGAGGCAGCAAAAAGACAGGCGGCATGAAACAGGATCCCAGATTTAAGATCTTAAGTCTGCGGACACTTCCTTTTTATGTAAAACGCTTCTGGTAAAAATGTCGCAGAACAAGAAAGCTTACGGAATAAGACTGGCATGTGTCGCGCCTGGCTGGCAGAGCTGTCGGTTTACTCCACACTAGGCCGGCAGAGCTGCTGGTTTACCCCATAATCTGCCGCTGGTGCCCACGATCCTGCTGGACAGGCGGCTGGATTCACACCCTTGACCGCTCATCTCCGGCGATGGATTGTTCTGACGGGACCGGCAGAGACTGAGCGGGCTAAGTGCGGACCCGGCCACATCTGCAGGCTGGCGTCATCAAGATCACCAGCGTTTTCAGTATCACCACCATCACCATAGACCTTAGGAACAGCGGCAGCGGCGCACAGTGTGGCCAAACGCCAGATTAGCGCGAATTTAATCAAAAAACGAATTTTGGAATTTTGACTTTTTATAACTGTCAGTCGATAGGAAATTGTCCAAAGTATGTCAATATCACAATACTTTGGTTCAATGTCATCCTTTCGGTGTCCAAAAAGCTAGCTAAAGTGGACATACGCAATGCCGGTCCCGGCTGTGCTGAAATCGTCGAAAACCCGCGTCATGTTTACAACACATTTTGGCGTAATTGTCGGAAAGGTTTGGAAATAATTGGAGTGGCATATGACTACTGCGCCTATATTTGATAGTATACCCGAATTCTATAGGTATCCTTGGACTAACCGATGAGTTATGCTCATTTGAAAATGACCTTTTCAAACATCCCCTGAAAACACTGTCCATCTTAAAAACGTAGAGATATAAGAAAATGGCCAAAAAACTCCACGCCAAATCTACTATGAGAAGATTCGCCACACTTTTCTGGACATGATCCATTCAAGAAACCCTGCCCCAACCTGCCCCCCGGCCTTTGGCTCAGCTTTGAACGTATCGGGTTGGCCCGCCCGGGGAGGTCCGGCTACAGGGTGGGCGCGGCGGCGGCTCCGTAACGTTACGCGGATGGCTCAACCGCTGTATTTCTGACTTGTTATAGTGCAGAATACGGTCGCCAATGAATAAATCTTGACAATTTTTCAACCCTCGCCCATGTAGGGGGTGAGGGTGGGGGTCGAAAGGACCCCTCTCGGTTTTTCGCAAAAAGCTCATGTAAAAAGCGGCCGATCGCGACGAAACTTTCAGTACCCTCGAGTTTATCAATTTTACACCTACCCATTAAATTTCACGACCCTGAACCCAATGACCTTTGACCTGTGACCTATTTCTCGAGACCATGTTTGGCCGGAAGCGCGATTGGGCGTATGTTTGCTTGCATTAGCCGCGCGTTTGCAGTCTTTTCGTGGTTTCAAGCGTCTAAACATGTGATATTATGATGTTGGTCCCATGCATTATGGTCGGTGTCAAGATCACTTGAAGGTCAGGTCAGTTCAATGACCTTTGATGACCTTGGTTCACCTTTTTTAGTTTTACATGTTATCAGACTAGTTTTTGGAGCTGATTTCGGATTAAGTAAACATTTGAACATTTAGGAAGAAGTTTTGGTGCATTCGTAACATGCAACGAAGCTGTCACTGGCGGTTGACACCTATTTTATGAATACCCGGCAGGACTGGTTGGCCTGACCTGACCTGGCCCGACCTACGTTCGCGGCTAGCAAAACAATACGGGCGAGGGTTAATGACATGAAGGTGCTTATGGTGTAAGTCTTTGTTTTTACTCTTATTGCTGAGGTTCAGTCCTATCGGTGCGTGTATTTCAGCAACCATCTACCGATTCATGTGCTTCACCAGGAACATTCACACAGAAACATAATTAGATGTTGATTTTTTTTCAAGCAAACTTTGGACAATCATAAGAATTTACCAGAGAAATGATGGGAATTTCGTAAACGATTCCTCCTCCTAACATGCCCATCATTGCTGGGACCCACAATTTTATGCCTCTTATTTGCGGTTAAATTCCAGGATTTCGTAATCAGAGTCGGAGTCGTTCGGAGTCAACAGTTCTGACCCTGCAGTCAGAGTCGGAATCGGAATCGATTTTGGAATCCGGACCAAGACTCGTAGTCTGAGTCACCGAAAATCCATCGACTGCGTGGACTTGCCATGGCTGCGGAGTCAGAGTCCGAGTCGATCGTATAAGTCGACAGTTTTGCCCGGAGTCAGAGTTGAAATTGACTTTTGAAAGCCGTAGTCGGAGTCGGAGTAACTCCATCGACTTCACAGCCCTGGCCTGGTAAGCACATCACCCGTCGTAAGCTAGTTCTCCTTACTTTTAGAGGCGGAACTATGCCATTATATGTCAGCAAGCATTTATAATGCATCGTAAAAGGTCTCACATAGGTTTAAGTGTCAACTTTTAAACCAGGAAACAATTTTCAACGGATCCGAGCAGCGCTGGGATTTAATTCGCGCTAAACTGGTGTTTGGCCACACTGTGCGGCGGCTCCGGTCCCTGGCCGATCCGAGAGCCGCCCGGTGTGACACAAAAACAGCCCCCAGAGTGGTTTGAGCCGCTAGAGAACACAAACAGCTTCGCCCCGCGGCCGAAGTGAAATGGGTCGAGGGATGGCTGAGATGAGAGGGCGCCGGTGGGATGGGACGGGGCGGGACAGGAGTAGGACTGAGTGGGATAGGACGGGATGGGACGGAATGTTATGGAATGATGATTGGATGGATATGCAGCGAGTTGCAAGGCACTGACATAAGAAGCTTGGTTTAAACTTTAAACTGGGAAGCGGTAAGCAGGAAAGTGAAACGAGTGAGGCCGTTGTAGGAATTCTCGACAGATAAACCCGTAAAAAGGAGAAGGGCAGGAAATGAGCGAAAGGAGAAGGGCAGGAAATGAGTGCCAAATAAGTAACGTTTCAATGAGGTCGGGTTTTGGACGTGTTTCTTGCTATCAACAAGGCTTAGCTTAATGCAGGATCTCCATGAATTGCGTCAGCTGGCTGCTGAGTGCTGAATTGGCGATTCGTAGTGACGTCAGGTGGCTATGACCTGACGCTGAGCGTTTCGACATCAGTCGTCAGTATGCAACAGACGGTACGACCGTCTACTCCAGCTAACGGCAGGCTGCCCAGTGTCCACCCCGCTCAAAGCGGTGTCCTAGCTCCGCTTTGACCCGACATTCCTAACCCTCCCCGATCTCCCTCACACGGCACAGCCTATCTCCCTCTCGTCCCGCCCCGCGCGCACCATCCCGACC